TAGCCGACTATCGTATTGCCGTAGGTCACTTTAATACATATGACAAAATTTTAATATGGGAAATTTTTTTTAATAACAATTTAACATGATTAACAAAATAATTAAAAATGACATTCCTGTAACCTACGTTGTGAATTATCGTATAAGATGACGAGAATTACGTAAAAAATTGTTTAATCATTAACATATTTGCCTTCTGATTACAGAGGCACAAGGACGCGAATGATATCGATGTTTCTCTGGTTCAAATTCCAATAACGTGCTCTTAAAGTAATTTCTAGTGTATCAATTTAATAAACATCATAGAAGTAGGTTAACCCACTTCAGTGTAGCGAATCTTTGACACCAGTAAGAGCTTTCTACTAACTATTTATGTACGTTTTAAAAAGAATAGATATAAAACTCAGCGCGCAGAGATTACAAGCTAAAATATTCACATTCAAAAAACGCAATTCAAACTAATTTTTTATCAATTTTGTTTTAGTCTTTGATAATGTTTTTAAAGAATTTGACATACTTAAAACAAGGAAAGAACCAAATTAAATATTTACTTTTGAAATATGAATCAATAGACGACTCGACCTACAAAGCAACATGACAGTTTAAATGAAAATGCAGGTAACATACGAGATTACATCGATAATCTATTATCAGTAGTGATAGCCGGTCATTGACTGAGAATCGAGTGTTGGTGAGAATTGATTTTTTTTGTTTTGCTAAAGATATTTTTCAAAACTTTGATTCTACGCACGTCCATGACTCTCTTTTTTAAATGCGTTAGATATATAAAACAAATACTACATTTCATACATACAGATAATAAATATTATGCCAAGTAGTTTAGCAGTTGACATAAAGCTAAATTAACTGAAGATAAATTTTGCAACATGTTATATCAAAACTTTCAGACTAAATGTAAAAGTTTCGAATAAATGCCAACAGTTAAACAGTCGTAACGAGTCAAGTTTCATAGACATTAGGGAAACCGTAACAAATAGCGGTAAAAGGGTGAAGTAGAGTAAAAAGGGATTTGTGAGATACTGGCTATTGTGTGACCGCTGATTTAAATATCAATGGAGCGAACAATTTCATTCAAAAATAAGACAAACGGTTACACCGTTACTAGACCTGCCTTGTTACACAATTAAGAATGTTAAGGATGTATTTTCTAATTCTATATAACAGGGGATTGTGTAATTAAAACATTTTATTTGTCTACTTTATATTCGTAACAATAGCCCCCTCTGGATGTTAATTTACTTCATGTCTTAAATGTTTATTAATGGACATAATAAATAGTGTGGTAAGTGAATTATTGAAGAGAATTTTATAAACTTTACTTTTAATCAAAATTATAATCATGTCATCCCGACTGAATTTTCGTCTGTCGGTCAATTTCAACATAGACCAGCCATCTGCGTACGACAGGATTATAGTGCACGAGTATATTATATGTCATAGTCCAATTCAAACGGTTATCTGTCTTGACCGGAAAGAGATCAGACGCAAGACCAACTTTGACTTTACGTGCTTTCGGGGAAAACACCACTATCTTTTTGATTTCAGGCTAACTGATTTTATGCCAGACCCAGGATTCGCACCTAGGATCACATGATCAGTTATTTCTTCCGACCACTGGACCGACGGGGCAGTCAAAACATAATTACACATGTAACACTAAAAAATGAAAAAGTAAAAGGCGGCCTTTTAAAGCAAAATATTTATCTTAGCTAACATAACATCACGTCTTCTATTCAAAAATTAGCCCATGTATATGTCAACAGATTACACAGTGTCCGAGTTTTTGAATAAAAAGCTTTTGAAAAAAATGTGTAATGTGTTGATTCAAGAAAAATAGCAGTAGTCCATGAGAATTACTAAACTTTACGCATATGTAAAGTTCGTACGAGTATAGTTCATTAATATCACGAAAATGGTTGTCTTTTTTGAGCTAAAATTTATAAATAACGCGAACTTTTATTAGAAGGAATAAATATGTATACATGTGTATACGAACATCTGCTTTATTGCAATCATACTAATATAATAACTATATTAGTATGATTACAATAGTGATAACTATATTAAAGAATGATGACTGAAAAAACCCTTTTTTGTACAAATTAATTTACATAAGATAAACACAAATTAACAAATAGGAAACAAAGTAAGTTAATTTACGGTGAATCTGTAAGACCGCATTGTTTAATAAACGCGTTAACCACACTTGGAATTTATCTAAAGAATAAATAGGTCAAGATATCTGAAAGCTTATAACCGTAAGTTGTATTATCACTTTCACATACTCCCAGTGAGTATCGAAATTATAACAAATTTATGTTCCCGACGCCTCCAGTCGATGCATTTTTATTTCTTTTAATGTTAATTGAAATGACATGGCTGGTGTCGCAGCCAGTCCTCTTTTATTTCTATTTTTATTAATTCTTTTTATTTGTATCCCATCGTGTCCAGCCATCCAGTTCTATACTCGAGCTTTCCTATTTTATGTTATCTAATCGATGAATGGGGTACGCTTACATGGCGTTAAACTCAAATTTATTACTACTTAATATTAGGTTCACATATATTCTTTTGATTTTCTGGTAAAATATTTAAACTACTAAAAAGTAAATAATTAAAATATCACGCATTGTGACCAATTACCATAATTTTATTACGAGTATAAATGCGGTTGATAAGTATTTGACTCAAAAACTGTAACGATTTAATACCTTTGTAGTTTGTTTAAATTTTTTTAAAAATAGTATTTCACAATGTTAAGGTAAATGTGTTTTTATTTCTGAAGAATTTAAGTTATCATCAAGGACATTTATCCCATTTTATAAGAGAAACTTTATTATACCTCGCGAGCCTTGCATATTGACTAACAATGGAACGGTATTTGCTATGTATTTATTATCGTAAATAAAGCAAAGATTTATGGCTGATTGTTGGGTTTCTAAATGGACGTCTAGAATTTCTAAGATGTACTCAATTTGTTGCAAATGTCAATAAATTTATGTAAATAAAATAACTATGATTTTGAGTAAACTGGTAGGAAGTTAATTTTGTCACCATGAAGATATGTTTTTCTTTTGATAGATCAAAATATAAACCGGCCATTAGATGTGAAAAAAATCCACCGTAGTTTATCGTACTTTGTCTGAATTTTCTTGTATCCGTGTATAAAGTTGTAACCAGACATCGTAAACTCTCCGAAATTACTTGCGCTAACTTAGTAACTCAGGCGCAGTTTTCTGCCATGTGCCATGGCGCAACAGTCATCTGTAAAAATAAAATTGTGTGACCAGTAAGTAAAATAAAATGTAGAAAAGAAAGATTACCTGCATATTAGGTACTACGTATCACTCATCTTACATTTCACGGAGTTGCAGTTTGTAAAAATAATAAAAAAAATCTTAACACCTTAACACATCTTCGCAGTAAACGGTGTGCGCAGCGCAGTTTTATCAATGTCTAACTATATATTAATATAGTATCCATCACCCCTGTACAGTAGGTTTCGTAAGAGACGACTATAGGTTATGCAAGAGAGATCTTATGGTTCTTATCCTCTAAATAGGGGTATTAACATCTTGTTTTAGGAAGATGTAAAATCATTGAGTTATACAAGACTAGAGGAGCAAACCACATTGCCGCGCGTCGAACAAAGTGTAACCACTATCCAAATGCGACGACGTAGCTTTGAAATCATTAAAATTTTTAAGTAAACATATATCTGTCTCACTTACACAAGTCGCGGAAAACAATATCGTCCCTAAGATTAGATAAAGATAGACACACAAACATGCAGTGGCGGGTTGGTGTTGCATACTTTATGAAATTTTACCCAAAATGAGCAATATAAAGGAGTTTTTTTTTTAAAGTTGCAGTAAATTGTTTTTATTTTAAATTTGTATATTTTCTTATTAGATGAACAGAAGTAAGCATAAGTAATGAAATAAAATATGTTTTTATATATTATTTTTATTGTACTAATAAATCAAACAAAAAAATAAAGCAAATAAAAAAAACAATTTTAGGTTTCTTAAGCGAGATCTGTGTTGAATAATTATTTCCACCCACTTCTTACGGCGTGCTGCATCTTTAGGTATACTGCAAATTTATTAATATAATATAAAATAATAAAATATAATTAATAGACCATTCATGAATAAACTAAAATAAGAATAATTATTTTGTATAAAGGTTGAAACATAGTTTTTATTTTTAAGCAATCAATTTTACTTGTTTATTTTAAAACAAAATTAACTTATTCCATAAATTATACAGTCTCCCATTAATGTGGAAAAATCACAAAGGCGGAAAAGTGGCAACATTGAACCTAAATTGCAATATTCGATATTTTATTTAATTTTTTAGTGTTTTAAACGTTAATATGAATATATAAATTAAAACTTACGTATGGAAAGTGATTCCGCTTGATTTATTATGTTTTTGTGACCTTGAAACGCATTCTTTCACTACGCATTTACCCATTTTTTGTTGTGAATCGTTCGGCTTAACTCGGACGGCGTCACCTTGAACACTGAACCGACGTTCGCTGAGTATAAGGCTGTGGCCTTATGTGAAGTGACAACGCTTTGGCGCGGAAATTACTTATCTAGTGTAACATATAAATCAATGTGTAAAATATCCAGAACGGCGACTGACCAAACTGACGGAAGCACTGTCAAAGCTCCGAGACGTCTGATAATGATGACCCGGAATTCAACCCCGAGACCTAATGATCATCAGTCGCGTTTACAATCACTAGACCATCGAGGAAATCGGATGAAGAAATCAATAATATCACACAATCGCCGTTCTGATTTAACAAATGTAAAATAAAGTTTAAAAATACATGTAATAAAGATTTAATGTTTTAACATTATATGTCAGTTTATTCGTATTTATTTGTTTTATTTATTTCGTTTCCTTATGGTTAACAATTGTAACTAAACAGTTCTTTTAATTGAATAATTTTCTCCTTGTTGTAGCGAATCTCACCATCAGCACGCGCGGCGTCAATCTAGAACTGCTCATTCACTCACCCGTACAGGACATGTACCTCTGCTTCAACCGCTCTCGACTTGTAGGCAGACGTTTGGTAAGCATCATATCTAATATGTTAAAGTTACACACAGAAGTTTTGCAAACCGAGTTTAACATTCCATTCAAAACTTGCTAATTATTTGAGCAATATCATGAGATAATCAATTGTGTTTAATTTGTCCGCAGTCCCGATTCCAAGCGGAGAGACAGCCCAGCTGCCTATTCAAGGAGGAGTTTGTGGACGGCTACAGCACATTTCACCTGGTGAGAAACGACGACCGATACATAGGGTTCAATCGGCGGGGTGTTCAGTTGCGACGCCTGAAGAGTCGCCTCTCCGAGCGCGCACACAAGTGCTTCGCCTTCATGAAGGAGAATCAAGACTTCGATATAAACAGGCACAACAACATGGTAGCGGCGGATTTGCCAAGACGTCCGCAGCGTAGACTCCGGCCCCCACCGCAGAACTCCATAAAACCGTCCTGTCATGGCGTACGCCATCATCATAACAGACATCAAAGGCGAAGGAACTGCGAAGGCACGTAGACATCCAGTCTCATCATTAGCAGCTCATTTACGCTTCATCGCTTCGCGCGTTTTGTTGCCAGTTGTCGATGGGCCTTGTGGACAGAGTATTAGTCAACTACCGCAGTATTATTTCCGTACGAGGACTGGACAACGTTAGGCTAGCAGTCAGCCGCGGTGGCCTCGGCGTTCTAAACGCCCATGAATGGTAGCTGAAGCGAGTGCGAGCAAACATTTGAATGGAGGGGAAAAAAGCCGGACCGGGACGGCGGCTGGAGATGTGAAATTCCTTAAGGTCGTGTAACATCGTGGTAATCGTTTGCTCTTGCGCTCGCGCGGACTCGTGCTCTAAAAGGAAAAAAGGTTTTCTGAGGAGAGAGCAAATAGTTGTATCGCTAGTCACGAGTCTTCCGACAGACCACCGCTGAACTCTGATGCTCGAACGCGACGAGGGAACTTTAAGACTCGTCGTCGTTGCGTGTCAATGTAAAATTTTTTCGTTGCTTAACGAACATTTAGACATTTGATAAAAACTTACTAAACCTCAACTGCTCCGGCTGGCTCGCCATAAATGTAGTTAAAGCGCCTTTACGTCAATTCTCAGTGTATTATTATTTAAATGCTTTAATATTAAGTTCGGATCGCGTTATCTGCTTGTAAATATAATAAATGTAATTGTGTTTACTTATTTATCGAAGAAAAAACTTAAACGGAAATTTGTAAACGTAGCTGTTAGTTGTATAGTTGTATTAAAATTATTTGTATTTAATTATGGGTATTTAATCTATCCGACCAACCGCTCTCTTGTGATTAGCCACGGATATTGTAACTTCATGTCTGCATACTACAATTACCACAACATGTTCTCCAATATTTACTAATGTTACTATGGCTTATGAATTTGATGTATGATTTGAGCATTTTGTAAATATTATTTTAAGTGTTTGTTTGAGAGTGATAGGTACTTGAATCTCTTTTTGTTATAAATCCGTATTCAATGTTGCAATATTTATATCCACAATAACATTCCTAATATGTAAACGTAATGGAAGACAATGTTAAAGAATTATTTCATGTTTAATTTGCCATACGAACTGTTATAAAACTCGTATTTATTAGTGAACATTGTAATCAAATGTATTTTAAGATCTGTGCCATAGTGTGGTGGCAGTGTACGACTTTATGTTCGCAATGTAATTAGTGTGTTAAGTTAATGTCTGTTAACTATGAATAGATAAAAGAATGTTTAACGTAAGACAAGTAACTGAATTTAAAACATTAATGTATCCTATACCCAGTGTGAAAGTGGCTTAAAATGTTGCGTATGCGGGGTGTAAGGTTGTTTTGAACTTGACCTTATACCTAATATTATATTCAATGTTATCATTGCTACTGTCATCGATTAGCGATATTACCGATGCTCTACATTCCATACAATAACGATGTATTCCACGATCGACAATATTGAACAAAAAACACAATACATTCCAGAACGATTACTATATAATTATTATATTACGACAAAATGCATTTAAATACACAATAAAATTGTTATATGACATTGTATATTGTATTACACAATAAAATTGTTATATGACATTGTATATTGTATTACACAATAAAATTGTTATATGACATTATATATTGTATCTTCAGTATCTGTATTTATATGCAACACGTAACATAATTAACGCACTTTGAGAATGACTAGTTTGTTCAGAATCGTTTACCGTAATTTTTTATCCCAAAATAATTAAATCTACGTAAATTACAGTCACACTAAATCTGTACAGTCAAAACAAACTGAAATAGACCGTAACTTAAGGCATTAAGACTTTTAAGAGTGCAGTTTTATTTGTATTATTACTAATTCTGTCATTCAATAAAAATAAAGAAAAATGAACATTATTTCAAGCACGTTAAAGTCTTTGCGTTCGTGGATTTGTACTGTGAACACAACATTCTTCTGGAATTAGTATAATTCATTTGATAAATAATCAGTGCATAAAAATGTTTAACTAAAAATTCAGTGTATGTATTATGATTATAACATCATATACTAATTGGGGTGTCTGAGGGTGTGCGTTAATTACGTTACATATTGTATTCAGACGCTCAGAACGAAATCATATAATTGCTAAGAAAAATTACGGAATTAAAGCATATTTAACTCGCATTACTGTGTTATTTTTGTATCATTCATTTAAAGCGGCTGTGTAGTGGCTGTGTAAGAATATCCCCTACCCCATGAGGACATCGGGGGTCCACGTGGGTGTCGTAAGAGACGACAAAGGGAATCAGAAACAGGAGATGGGTAGCAGTGTCTTCCTAAAAAGTGTGGTGGCCAACCTGCTGCAAGCGTATAGGCAATGTGAGACAATCTATGGAAAGGCCTATGTTGAGCACTGGACTTTCATAGTCCAAGATGGTCGCTGGGCATATAGCCATTAGACACAACGAACTGAAAGTAAAGATGGCTACAGATAAATGTCGATAAAACCTCCGTCTCTTGCAATTGAAATCGGAATAAAATATAAACAAGGGTGTGGTGCGAATATCGACGAAATACAAAGCAGAAGAGAACTTCAACCTAGTAAATTCACGTTTAGGAGGTCAAGGCCGTCGCGCAGGCTGTAGCGCGTACTCACAAATATTGAGCGGTTTTGAGGACGATTATTATACAACGTATACAAATGATGTTATTGATACCATAAATTAACATTTACCGAGTCCTTAGTGCCTATTTACTCGGTAAATTCAGCACTAAACAAGGTTCATCAGAAGTTCCGCACATACGAATACACAAGGTGAGGATAAAATCTTAAAAGGTCGCATTATATAACATGAAGCGCATATGAAATGTTAGTACCTATTTAATTTTTTTTCCACTCATTAGCATTCATAATTATATTTGCATATTTACAGTTACATACCATAGTTATTCAAATATTAAATTAACTTGTTAGTAATTATTGAATATGATTTTTTAATTTTACTGGTAACGCGGCATATATTATGTTTAACCTCAGGGGTAAAAACATCGACATATTGATTCATAAGATGCAGAAGTCTGTGGGTGACGGCACCTACTTCTATTATAAGGTGGATAGTGGGCTTGCTGGTCACCCTACTTCGAAGAAATTAACGTTCTCGTTTTTACAGTATTTCTACACAAATTTGCATAACTTTTTGTTGTGCTAATTTTATTATAGGCGTGGCAATTAGTTTTATCATGCAGTCTGCGTCCGTGAAGCCCAAGATCGGGCTAAGTGGCGCGCCTTGGTAGAGGCCTATGTCCAGCAGTGGACTGCCGCAGGCTGATGATGATGATGATGATGATAATGATGCAATCTTCTATGATGCAGAAAATAAAAGTCACAAATGCAGTTAGGTAATTTAAAATAAGCTATAAGTGGCTTTAATCTACCGTCACATTTTAAGCGATAGTAACCTTATGGGTGGGTGGGTACTGGGTATACAGACTGCGAAACTCAAATGTCGTGGATTCGAATCCGACTTTCGAGTACTGTCGTGAACCACTCCTTAAGCATATTATGTTCATAGTTGGTGTGAAGTACTAGGTGCTTTTAATAATGTTTATTTAGTCCTTATTTGTCTTTAATAAAAATGAACATGTGCGCGGTAGCTCAAGGCTAAGCACTCGCCGTAAATTTTGCAGGATGCTACGAGTATCAACCCGTATTCGAACTCCGCCGGATCTAATAAATTTGTTAATTGCAAATTTAAGCGCTGATTTACAACCTACATATTCCACAAATGAAGTATTTTAATGGCATGATGTAAATTCTACATGCATTAAAATATGAGGCTTGCAATATGTAATATTTACTCCATTATTTTCTCAGAAGTTAGAGGAAAGCCTAATCGTACTACATGCTCTGTGCTGGCGGTGTAAGAGAAGTGAAAACCCATTCAAAACTGCATATCTTCCCGCGCGCTTCTTTCGTGCAACTTTAGGAAATGCTACTGTTATCTTACGGCCTACGATAGATGGCGATACAAGCACATTAAAACCTACATGAAAAACTCTCACTGGCGACGTGGAGCAGCGTCTAAAAGACGTCTAAAAGGTAGGCATTGTGATAACCAATCGAATGAAAGACGACGAAGGTGTTGTTCTAAAACAATAATAATAATATATAAGTATATCAATTAAAAATTAGCATCTGAGCCGCGGTAGCTCAGAACTCAGATGGTTGGCGCTCGCTGTAAATTATACAGTACGCGAACAACCCGGGTTCGATCCCCGCCGGCACCAATGAAATTGTTAACTACAATTTTATGAGCTAATTTACCACGTGCTCGGCGGTGAAGGTAATAAACATCGTGATGAAACCTGCACGGCTGAGAAATAAGAATTAAATATTTCGAAGACATGTAAAGTTCGCCAACACGCAGCTTCCTTGCCCTAAAACCCTCTCAGAAATGAGAGGAGGCTTGTGCTCTGCCGAAGGACGTATGTATATATATATAGGTTGTAACTTTAAATTTTACATAAATTAAAAATACGACCAATATACGTTCCACCGCTGGGAGCAGGAATCTTTTTATTCCTTAGAGGGTTAAAGAGACTATATCCTTAAAATATTTTTATTCCTCAAATATGCAGGTTTTCTCACGACTTTTACTTAATCGCTGAGCACGTACCTAATATTCATCTTCGTTTAAAATTGTAGTTACTCGTGATTCGCGAGTCGCTCGTTTGATTAACAAAAGACCAATTGTACTGGAAATGAGGCATTCTATTTTAGTTTTAAAAAGTGACAACGCTTCGCATGTATTTTAATGGCATTTAAGGCATTTAAAAAAAATATTTGTAAATATCTATACTGAATGGCCTTTTTTACCGCCTGGAAAAATAGGGTGTAACATGTAAACGGACGGTTGAAGGCTTGGCCTA